CTATTTAAACTGCAGTGTCTCTGTATGCTGGTTTGCGTATTCTCCAACACAACTCTCACAACACTTCGCTGAATGCACTCGCTCTCCCAACGGGGAGCTTACCTAACATCCCATTTGGTATGTTAAGGACAGAAGGCCTAAAAACAGGCCTTCTTGTTGTAATATATTTGCTCCAGAGTCGCGTGACCTCATAGAATCCAATAGCTTCATTCCTATTAATAGTTCAGAATGAAGACAATCCTTTTCTACAGAACCTTCAGAAGAGAGTGTGCAAATAAATGGGAGGCAACTATTTGATGTACACCTTAATCATTTACAAACATTACTGCACCACCAACTTGGATAAGATTAAGATCAATAAATATAAGACAGTATCAAGAACAAAATATAAAATGGCCTCCCAAAGCATCAATAATCAGTGATTGTCCGCCTATTGAAATGGAATCATTTTGATAACCATGCTCTCTGGGCATTCTGGGAGCTGGTCCACATATCTTAAAGTTGCTACGGTTGAAAACACTGAAATAAAAGTGCAAATCCAGGGAAAAGTGCTCCAAATTAGAGGAGGGAAACAATGCAGAAAAGGCTTGATATGGCTATTATTTGATGGTCTTGTTGTATATCCAAAGGTTTCATGAGATGTAAGCCACTGAAAATTGTTATATGGATTGATATGCATATAAATATACAGATCTTCCTGTAGCTTGTTGGCCAATTCCTGGTGTATTCACTTCCATTTTTAGCCATTCTTACCATCCCATGGATTTGGGAAGTGGGGGGGGGAAACAACCCACAAATTAACTAAGAAACCATAAGCAATTCATCTGTCTTTGTTCAGACAACATACTAAGCCATGGTAGCAAACATTAAGACAACCCTGAACAATGCTTTAGTATGGTGATCTGCTGCTGTAGAACAAGCCATGACTTACCTACCGACTCCTATTCACACAATTGCTAAGATAAAAGCAAATAGCACAACTCAAATTACCCACAAATAATTGTTTGAAGGGTAAGCATTCAGAATTCCAGCTGACCATTTTGACACTGGATGTGTTTATCATTTTAGGGGAAAGTACAAGATAGATATAAGATCAAAGTGAATAAAGATCAGTAAGGATGGATGCACACTGGGAAGATAAGTATATGCATAAAGGAACATAATAGAGCTACCGATCGAGGACAATAAATCTTAAACTAAATCTGAAGTTAACAAGAAACTTGGCTTGGAGACACCTAGGAAAATCATTACACTCTCAAGAGAAGCTGTGGGGGAGGGGGGAGTAGAAAATTGGGAATAGATTGTTGAGAAAAGACTACATAGCTTTGTAACCAGAACATTAGAACAATGAATGATGCCTAGAAAGTTCATTTGCTTCTATGTAAACCATTCACCATCTAGCAGTTTCTAAACATATTAATTCAAGTTTTTTTATGGTCAGAGTAAAACATGTGTACAATGAGATTGGCTGAGCCTCCCTAAACATAGATCTCAGGATTTTCAGCCAGGAGCATCCATGAGGACTCAAAAAATAATAATAATAATCAAGAAAGTGGCTACTTCCACACAGCCAAAGCTCAACAGGATCAACACTGATCATCCCGGGGACTCCTGCTTTAAAGCAACCTTTCCCAATCTGGTGAATTTCTGTACTATAGCAGGTCCCCTGGTTAAGAACGCCCCCCTTTAAGGACAATAAGTAAGGAGCCCACTGTAGCAAAATTTGAATTCAATACAAAAGTTCAAGTTCATTAAACAATACTAATACAATATTATACAGTAACATTGTTTTGGCTTACATAGAAATT